GTAGCTATTGGTAAGGGCCCATAGAAATAGTTGATTTACCGAAGTTAAAGATGGTGATTTTCCAGTTCGATAAAAACTGTATCTTTATCAGAGGGTCATGATCATTGCTTCCGACAAATCCCAAAGTTCTGCTGCTTATATTCCTACTGTGGATGGAAGATCGCCTGAACAGTTATAAGTACTAACAAAACCCCATTTGTAGAATCTATAATCCAATAGAAATAACCAGCTATAACTAATAGCCATGGCCATAACTGTAGCCATTAGAAAAGGTGATGAGTTTCTGCAAGATGGTGCCCCCGAGTTATAAGTTGGTTTATAAACTCCATTAATGTTGGATCCTGATTAGTGTGGTGTGGTGGGCCTCTTTTGTTTCAATTTTCTGAAATTATACAGACCCAGGGAAAATGATGAGGTGGGTCGGTTTTGTTGAAATTTGTTTTTGGTGTATTTTTTCAGTTTTGTTTTATTTATTTTTATTTTTAAAATTGTTTTAAATTAGTTTTTAATTTGTTGTTTAAATTATTGCATTGTTTTCTGTTTTTCCTTTTTTTTTACAATAGTTGTTTTTCAGTTTTTTGTTGAATATTCCTAAGTTTTTTGATTAACAATATTGATCCTGAATAATTAATATGTTTGTTATGGTGGTCCTCTATTGTGTCCAACCGTTGTCTGAAGAAATTGTCATTTCAATTGTTTTATTTTTTTCATGAGCAATATTGATCCTAAATAATATGTTTGTTGTGGTGGTCCTCTATTGTGTCCAACTGTTGCCTGAAGATTTTTTATTTCAATTGTTTCATTTTTTCATAAGCAATATTGATCCTAGATAATCTGTTTGCTGTGGTGGTCCTCTATTGTGTCCAGTTTTTTTTGGAAGTAAACATGTTCCAAAATCATTCTCTCCTTTCCTTTTCCTTTCCTTTGCTAATTGCTTTTCTCTTTTTTTAACTTTCTTAGCTCCATTCTTTTGGAATTCTCAAAATGTTCAGTTTCCCCAAATATAGGGTGCCTTATTGAAACCCAATGAAAAAACAGCACTCAAACAATTTTTCAAGTGAGTAGTCCATGAGCAACCTCCTCAATAGTGTGTTTGTTGTGGTGGTCCGTGTCCAGTTTTTTTTGGAAGCAAAAAAAAAACACCCCCATTTTCTCATTTCCTTTACTTTTCCTTTGCTATAGTTCCCCACCTGCCAGGTGAGGGTTGTTAGATTTTATGTCAGTTGCCTGCTCCTCCTCTCCTCTCCTCTCCTCATCTCCTCTCCTCCTCCTCCTCGTCCTCCTCGTCGTCCTCCTCGTCCAACTGCGACCCGCGATCCACAGTGTTCTCTGTCGGACCTCAACCACGACAATCCACGCCCAGTGTGCCCTGCCGGACCTCAACCACGACCATCCACGCCCAGTGTTCCCTGCCGGACCTCAACCGCGAGTATCCGGGCCCAGTGTTCCCTGCCGGACCTGAACCACGACCATCCACGCCCAGTGTTCCCTGCCGGACCTCAACCGCGAGGATCCATGCCAAGTGTTCCCTGCCGGACCTCAACCGCGAGTATCCACGCCAAGTGTTCCCTGCCGGACCTCATGTAGGAAGATATGGGAGTGCCAGAAGAAGGTAGAATGCAGAAAAATGCCAGAAGATATGCCAGATAGATATGCCAGAAGATATGTCAGAATATATGCCAGAAGATATGCCAGATAGAATGCCAGATAGAATGCCAGAAGATATGCCAGATAGAAGATATGCCAGATAGAATGCCAGATAGAATGCCAGAAGATATGCCAGAAGATATAGAAAATGCCAGAAGATATGCCAGATAGAATGCCAGATAGAAATGCCAGAAGATATGCCAGATAGAATGCCAGAAGATTTGCCAGATAGAATGCCAGATAGAATGCCAGAGATATGTCAGATAGAATGCCAGAAGATATGCCAGATAGAATGCATCAGATTTGCCAGATAGAATGCCAGAAGATATGCCAGAAGATATGCCAGATAGAATGCCAGATAGAATGCCAGAAGATTTGTCAGATAGAATGCCACAAGAAAATGCCAGAAGATATGCCAGATAGAATGCCAGAAGATATGTCAGATAGAATGCCAGAAGATTTGCCAGTAAGAAAATCTATAAATGTCATGGTGGGGATCACACGAAGTAAAGTAATTTTTGTCTCTTACTTAGTTCAATTCTCCTGGCATCCTCTCCCTGGTTTCTATGGTGTTTCTTTGGGATTTTGGCAAAATTTATATCGAGATTCTATGTAATTTCTACGGTGCTTCTGTGATATTCTATGGTGTTTCTAAAGGTGTGTCTATGGTAGTTCTGTGGGATTCCTATGGGGTTTCAAAAGGATGTCTATGGGATTTCCTTTGAATTCCTATGGTGTTCCTGTGGTATTTCTATGGGATTTCTTTGGGGTGTACATGATATTTCTTTTGCATTTCTATGATATTTCTATGAGATTGCTATGGGATTTCTATTTGATTTCTGTGTGATTTCTATGATATTTCTAGAAGGTTGCTCTGGAAATTCTATGGTGTGTCCATGAAGTTTCTTTGGAAATTCTATGGTGGTTCTATGATATTTCTATGGGATTTCTATCGCGTTCCTGTGAGGTTTCCATTGTATTTCCATGATATTTCTTTCGGATTACTATGGGATTTCTGTGGGGTGTAAATGGTATTTCTATGGGATGCCTATGGGGTTTCAAAAGGATGCCTATGGGATGTCCGTTGGATTCCTGTGGTGTTTCTTTGTGATTTCCATGATATTTCTTTTAGATTTCTATGATATTTCTATGGGATTACTATGGGATTTCTATTTGATTTCTGTGTGATTTCTATGAGATTTCCATGGTTGTTCTTTGGGATTTCTCTGGGATTTCAGAGGGATGCCTATGGGATTTCCATTGGACTTCTATCAGGTTTCTATGGGATCTCTATGGTATTTCTATGATTTTCAATTGGATTTCCATGAAATGTATTTTGGATTTCTATGATATTTCTATGGGGTTTCTATTGGATTTCTATGGGATTCCTAAAGCATTCCTATGGAACTTCTTTCCTGTTTCTATGATATTTCTATGAGATTTCTGCATGCATGCTATGGGAATTCTATGGTATTCTTATGGGATTTCCATTGGATTCCTATGGGAATTCTATGGTATTTTCTATGGGATATCTTTGGGATTCCTACGGGATTCCTGTGGCATTCCTATGGGAGTTCCACGATGCTTCTATGGTATTTCTATGGGATTCCTGAAGGAATTCTATGAGATTCTTATGGGGTTTCTTTGTGGTTCCTATGCTATTTCCATGTTATATCTTGATCTTTCTATTGGATTCCTGTGGGATTCCTATGGGATTTCCATGATATTTCTATCATATTTTCAATTGATTCCTATGAAATTTCCATGAGATTCCTATGGGATTTAAACAGGATTTCTATGGTACTACTATGATATTTCTAGAAGATTTCATTGGGAATTCTGTGGGATTTCCATGAGGTTTCTTTGGAATTTCTATGGTGGTTCTATGATATTTCTATGGGATTTCTATTGGCTTCCTGTGGGGTTCCCATGGTATGTCTATGGTATTTCTCTGGGACTACTATGGGATTTCTATGGGGTGTCAATGGTATTCTATGGGATTCCTATGGGGTTTCAAAAGAATGTCTATGGGATTTCCATTGGATTCCTATGGGATTTTCATGATGTTTCTATGATATTTCTATGGGATTACTATGGGATTTCTGAAGGGATGCTATGGGAATTCCATGGTATCCTGATGGGATTCCCATTGGGTTCCTATGAGATTTCTATCGTATTTCTATGATGTTTCTATGGGATTTCTGTGGGATTCCTATGGGATTCCTATGGCATCCCTATGGGAGTTCCATGATGTTTCTATGATATTTCTATGGGATTATTCCCCCTCCTTTTGCCGTAGCGCAAACAAAAAAAATCCAGGTTAACTAAAGTGACAATTCAGAGGTTTACTTCCATGTTAGTTGCAATGGGGGGGGTAAACTGCAAATTTGTGTTCTTTGGATCTGAGCACTTTTTTTTTTTGGCTAGTTCTTTTTGCCACGAGTTCCCCGGGAATCCTGGGCATTTGTTGATTAACGTAGAAATTTTGATTTTTTCAAGATAAAGCTGGGAATGCCTCTATTTTTTAACAACCAACGATTGGAACGGATAACTTACATAGAAATTTGCTACTTGAAGTAGGATGTGGGCAGTGCCATGTTAGCGAGCGCTCGGTCCTCCTTTTACCGTAGTGCAAAAAAAAAATCTTCCACGTTAACTAAAGTGACAATTCGGAGGTTTACTTCCATGTTAGTTGCAATGGGGGGGGGGTAAACTGCAAATTTGTGTTCTTTGGATCTGAGCCCTTTCTCTTTTGGCTAGTTCTTTTTGCCACGAGTTCCCCGGGAATCCTGGGCATTTGTTGATTAACGTAGGAATTTTGAATGTTCAAGATAAAGCTGGGAATGCCTCCATTTTTTAACAACCAACGATTGGAACGGATAACTTACATAGACATTTGCTACTTGAAGTTGGATGTGGGCAGTGCCATGTTAGCGAGCGCTCGGTCCTCCTTTTACCGTAGTGCAAACAAAAAAACATATTCCACGTTAACTAAAGTGACAATTCAGAGGTTTATTTCCATGTTAGTTGCAATGGGGGGGTAAACTGCAAATTTGTGTTCTTTGGATCTGAGCCCTTTCTCTTTTGGCTAGTTCTTTTTGCCACGAGTTCCCCGGGAATCCTGGGCATTTGTTGATTAACGTAGAAATTTTGAATTTTTCAAGATAAAGCTGGGAATGCCTCTATTTTTTAACAACCAACGATTGGAACGGATAACTTACATAGAATTTGGCTACTTGAAGTAGGACGTGGGCAGTGCCATGTTAGCGAGCGCTCGGTCCTCCTTTTACCGTAGTGCCAAAAAAAACTTCCACGTTAACTAAAGTGACAATTCGGAGGTTTACTTCCATGTTAGTTGCAATGGGGGGGGGTAAACTGCAAATTTGTATTCTTTGGATCTGAGCCCTTTCTTTTTTGGCTAGTTCTTTTTCCCACGAGTTCCCCGGGAATCCTGGGCATTTGTTGATTAACGTATGAACTTTGATTTTTTCAAGATAAAGCTGGGAATGCCTCCATTTTTAACAACCAACGATTAGAACGGATAACTTACATAGAATTTTGCTACTTGAAGTTGGATGTGGGCAGTGCCATGTTAGCGAGCGCTCGGTCCTCCTTTTACCGTAGTGCAAAAAAAAAATCTTCCACGTTAACTAAAGTGACAATTCAGAGGTTTACTTCCATGTTAGTTGCAATGGGGGGGTAAACTGCAAATTTGTGTTCTTTGGATCTGAGCCCTTTTTTTTTGGCTAGTTCTTTTTGCCACGAGTTCCCCGGGAATCCTGGGCATTTGTTGATTAACGTAGAAATTTTGTTTTTTCAAGATAAAGCTGGGAATGCCTCCATTTTTTAACAACCAACGATTGGAACGGATAACTTACATAGAAATTTGCTACTTGAAGTTGGATGTGGGAAGTGCCATGTTAGCGAGCACCAATTGGGCACCATTGATTTCGAAAGGTTGCATCCTCAATCGCTCGGACATGACAGGGGTGAGAAGATAGATGCAAAGAAGAAAAAATGATGTGGCGGTCAGTCTGTGGGTTTTAGGGATCGCCCTAGAAGGATGTATTCAACATCAGGGGAGAACATGTTAACATAGAAGTTGCCAACCTGATGTCTGGACCCTCAAGTTACTTCCACGCAAGGGTTTTTAGTCTCAGTTTTCACACTTCCATGGTGAATATGTTACTGACATATCTGATGAGCTACTTCCATGTAAGAGATTCACGGTCAGTTTTTCTGCATTTGCTGGCCCGGTGGCCCAGTTTCACTTTTTCCCCAGGAATTGGACGTAAACGACTTCCATGTAAACCGACAGGTTTTTCCATCCTGACTTCCACGGTAAAAGGACCCGGTGTACTTTGGGATTCCTGAAAGAATTCTATGAGATTCTTATGGGATTTCTGTGAGGTTCCTATGGCAGTTCCATGATATTCAATTGAAATCAATTGAAAGCAAATTGAAAATAATTTGAAATCAATTGATGTTCAATTGAAATCAATTGAACATCAATTGAAAGTAAATTGAAATCAATTGGAATCTATCATTTTTGGTGATTTTACACTAATCAGACACGTGCAGTTGAAAATTTCGACACTAAAGAGGCTCCTTGAATTGTTGAGGGGGGGGCCTCCCTACACTAATCAAGATCCAACATTAACATCCATTAACTATAGTAATATCTACAATAAACCATAGAATTCAGCCACTTATATCTTAATTTAGTTATCTTGGGGGCCCCATCCTGTAATATTCCATGACATATCCCAGTTTGATATAGATTAGATTGCCAATTATTTGTTTAAATCTACGTGCACCATTGAAAATGGGATTAACCATTTGACATAGTAGATAATCATCATAATCCCATTGATACCCAAACACTAAAGGATTAGTTTCTACCCATCTGAGCAGTGTTCAAAATCCCTCTATCCTTCCATTATACTGGTTGGTTTATAGGGATTCCCCGTTCTTGGATTATTGTAATCCCTAATATATGAAGTGTAGTATAATCCCCGATATAATCGTCAACCAACAGGGGTTTAGCAGCCACTGCTCATCTAAGATTTACTTAGTAAATTTGATATCATGGAGTATCTATTCCATTGTAATGTGGTTAAAACAACAATAAACCATCCCCCAAACCACCATTTGGTGGTGTGTTTACCATTCCCAGTCATGGCTAGTAAAAATATGTAAAAATGGCATTGTCAACAAACCACATTACCCAGTATTCCCCATGATATTTCCAGTATCAATGGGTAGATGTTGACCACTGGTCTACCGGCTTCCATCGTGCCTCCAGCTGCATGGGCCACGCGGCGCCTCTGCGGCGGTACTCGCAGGAAAGGATCAGGAAGCCGCTGGCGGCCAAGGATTGCAGCAGGGGAGCCTGGGCCCAGCAGGAGCGCCGTCGAGCTCGCCCTCAGTTGCCTAAAAAAGTGGCTGAATTCTATGGTTTATGATATAACGAACTAGGTCATGGATGTTAATGGGGTATACAAACCAACTTCTAAGTGGGGCACCATCCTGTATGGCCCAACAAATAGTTTTGTTGATGGGTTTATTGGCCCAACAAACCATGATTTTGATGGGTTTATGGCCCGGAAAACATTTTGTTTATTGATTTATTTAATGATAACCAACTAGTTGTAGGAGTTACTTCATTCTATTTGCAATTGTTAGTTGGGCCACCACTGGATAAGATGTTGCTTTCCAAAAATGGTGCTATCCCAATAGCTGGGTGGTCATAATATCTTCTTTCCTGGAAAATTCACCTATGATGTGGGATGATTTTGGTCTATGAATCCGATGGTGTTTCACGTATCTTGTCCAGATATGTGCAGATAGCCTTTATGGCATGTACATCGATCGTTGGTTGTATGATCATCAAATTTCAATTTTTTGAACAATTTGACAGGTCCGGGTTCATTAAATCCATTGACCTTGCCTTTTGGATGGGAACCACAAGGAGACACCGAACCAGAAAATCAAGACAAATCATGATATTAATGATTTAACTGGTGAGATATGGTGAAACATAATGACGTGTGATTTTATGGTGGCTATATATATATATGATATAATAGGTTTAGATATATGTGATGAGTAAACATTAAGGTTGTTAGAATAATTAAAATATAATGATGTTGCCAAATAGTGGTTTAAAATTGTTTCAAAAACTGATTGATGACAATGGGAATTTAATGGGTGCACTGTGGTTCACTCATGGTGTATAATGGTGAAACATATGGTTTATTAATTCTTGGTGATTGGTGCATAGGATATGTTGCCCCTACATTTGATACAGAATATGGGATCAAAAAAAATGTAATGGGCGAAATGCGATGTGCAACAATCTTATGGGATATGTTTAGGGTTTATGGTTTGATGGAGGTGTACAAAGTTTTTTTTTCCACCCCCCCTGTCTTTTTTCCTTCCCATGGAACATTATGTTAATGGGGATGGGACATGATCAGGGGATATGATGGTTTTATTGAGGTTAAGGAAAAGGGGGATGTACATTTTTCTTATCGGTTTAAAATCAAAATACTGGGATTGACTGTGGATATTTATTGAATATTCACTTATTTCATCCCACTAGTGATTTTTCATGTTGATATCACAAAGATTTATGCAATTATGTTTTCCCAGTAAGTTCGTTGTTGGTTTAAAATCCAAGTTTGATAAAGGTATATACCGTAAACTGCCATAAGCCAAACCTAACTATATAGTCACAAGCCACCTATCAACTTACCTATGTTGGGGCCAAATATTGCAGTATTTGTTTCTTACCGGGATTTCAATGATTTATGATGTTGATGATGATGATTATTATTATTGGTACCAGTAGTACCGCACAGGGGGTGGCGGAAGTTTCAAAAATAGGAAACCTATAGGAGAGGTTGGTTGCTGTGAATCAGGGATGGCAGAGCGAAGCCACTGATGGATCGAAAGGTGATTGATCTCTCTCACTCTTTCTCTCTGTTTTGCTCTCTTTCTCTGATTACCTACCTACATACCTACCGATCTATCTATCTATCTACCTATCTATCTAGCTGTCTATCTATCTATCTACCTACCTATCTATCTAGCTGTCTATCTATCTATCTATCTATCTACCTACCTACCTACCTATCTATCTATCTATCTATCTCTCTAGCTGTCTATCTATCTATCTATCTACCTATCTATCTATCTATCAATCTATCTATCTATCTATCTTTATCTATCTATCTATCTATCTATCTATCTATCTATCTATCTATCTATCTATCTATCTATCTATCTATCTATCTCTCGGTTCTTTCTGTCTGTCAATCTACCTACCTGTCTATCTGCAACCTTGAAAACCGAACTATTCTGCGAGACTTCTTCATTGTTCAAAGTTGACAACATCAAAAACGCAGCAATTCTGCGTGACTTCCTCATTGTTCTCAAAGTTGACAACATCAAAAACGCAGCAATTCTGCATGACTTCCTCATTTTTCAAACTTGACAACATCAAAAACGCAACAATTCTGCGTGACTTCCCGATTTTTCGAAGTTAAGAACATCAAAAACGAAGCAATTCTGCGAGAACTCTTCAATTTTTGAATTTGACAACATCAAAAACAAAGCAATTCTGCGAGACTTCCTTCAAAAATGGAAAGTTGAATGCAGAGCTGACAGCCTCGTACCAATGCGTTTTACGATTTTTCCACTCCACCTGTCTAAAGTATTGCGCGTGCCACAAAAAATTGATGCCAGGTCATACGAAGTGCTGCACCTGTCACGCAAAATCATCTTAGCAAACCTACAGATCTGATGCTCCAAAAGGCAACCCCTCTCAGGAAATCAGCGCCCTGACCTCCTAACATCTCTGATGAACATGTCTTGTGTGCTGTGCCTGCCACGCGAAATGCATCTTTGAAGATCCTCTTCAAATGTCCCACGCCTGCCATCGTTTTTGGAAATGCCACAAAGACCTCACGTTTTGCTCACTTTTGACAAGGTGCACAATCCCTTGCGCCTGCCACGCAAATCGACGCTTCAACGTCCAAAAGTGGCGCGTACATGTGGCGCTCTGTGCATTTTGACTTCGAAATGTGCTTCGCGCCACAACGGCGTGCACTTTTTCGACATCTTAACTTCCAAAAGTGGTCCGGACCTGGTGTGTTTTGTACATTTTGACTTCGAAATGTGCTTCGCAGCACAACTGCGTGCACTTTTTCGACATCTCAACTTCCAAAAGTGGTCCGGACCTGGTGTGTTTTGCGCATTTTGACTTCGAAATGTGCTTCGCGCCACAACAGCGTGCAATTTTTCATCTCTCATCTGGCCAGATGGCTTCGCACCCGCCGCTTTAGCGAGCCTACTTTTCGACCCTCCGGAGCCACAAATCATTGGAAAACACAGTGTTTCGCGACTTTCCTACCTTTTCGCGCACCTGCATCTTCTTTCTTCTGACTCTTTCTCTTCTCTGATCTTCTCTCTTCTACTCCTCTTCTCTGATCTTCTCTCTTCTACTCTTCTCTTCTCTCTGACTCTTCCCATCTCTACTTTTCATCTGCCCATATTGTCGGAAGTTTGACTTCTAAACTTCCTTCGGTTATTATTATGTTTGACGTGTCAGGGTGTATAATGGCTCATGAAGGTGGTTTATATGTTTTAACGGAAAATGATTCAAAAGGAGATACATGGGTGATATGGCGGGAATATAATGAGGGGATACGGTTTTCATGGAGGTTGATAGATGTTTATAGATGGTATATAGTATATAACAAAGTGTAATTTGGCAATGATTTACGGAGCTTTACAATGGTTCGTACTGGGATGTGCTGGAAAGATGATAAAGTTCAATGGTTTTACCCCAGTCATAAGTTGAATGGTGTTTTGTGATGGTTTTGAATGTGGTGTACAACAGTTTTATGGTTTTTGCTTGTTTTTTTAAAAAATATATATATATATATCACTACGTGGAGATGCTATTGGGATGTTGTTGGGGTTATATGGGATTTTAGACTCAATTCGCTAAATACGGGGGCACGACATCACAAATGTCAAGGTTCTAAGGTTCTGGTTCGTATGGAAAATTTGATTGGGATATCATAGGGCATTATCATACTAAGACTATACATATAATGAGATTACTTCCATCCAATTGGGATGTTGGGGCTATACTGCTGATTTACTGAGATTTACAGTGGAAATGGTGGGGCTACAGACTATCAAACTGTAGTGAGTTAGGGTTCTGGTTGATGTGGAAGTTGGCCACCCAGGAATATAACGAGGATATGATAGGGATTAGTTAGATGATGAATTCACGGAATATAGCAGGGTTATGGTGTGGATATGAAAGGATATAATGGGGATGTGGTGGGGATGTGGTGCGGGCTACTTCTGGCACTTGCCTTTCAAATGTCATACTATGTCATTGGTGATTTAATGGGGACCATCGAGGTAGTACTGGATTCAACTACCAAACGTATGGGGTTAAATCACGATACAAACATAGTGCTACATCACCAAACAAAAAATCCCATGAAACATATAGGGCTAAATCAAAAAACAAGTCATCATTTTCCATCATTTTCCTATGTATTTTTCAACCCTGGCCGTGGTCCAACTCCTCCGAGTGGCTTGCGGCGAACAGCGCGCTTCGCCGCCGCGCCAGGCTCCCCCGTGGATCAGAAACAGCACCGGCCGCAGCGCGGAGTCCGTGGAGGGGACGTACCAAAGGTCGAGTGGCACGTGGAGACCTGGTGTGGTTCCAGGTCTTCCAGGTCTAGGTCTGGCGAGAAATGGGAGGTGAAACTTGCGGAATATTCTTGGGTACTATTAAGGTCTAAGAGATCTAAGAGAAATGGGAAACTTGGATACTGAAGATCGGGTATGAAAAATCGACGATGAATTTGGCGCCTTGCGTGCTCTGAAGTTTGGACCCATACGCAAATGATAGTTTAGTGACTGTTTAGTATGTAAAAATTAACAGAAGCTACATTCCCTATACCCCGTGACAGTTATAACTGGTGGAGAAAAACAACAATTCATTCAAGTGAAATGTAACCAACTAGTTGCAGTAGATATTTCATCCCATGGCCAGAACTGCTGAGGGCTAAAACTGAATATATATATATATATAAATATATATGTATATATGATGTTGTTTAGTGTGTGAAACATATGAATATAGTGGATTTTTGGATCATCAGAATTTATGAAGTTACCATACATATATTTGTATAATGGATTGTTGATGAAAACAATATATATCTGAAAAATAGTTATCATAGTGGATTAGTGGATACAGCAATAAATGTGAATATATTTTTTTTATTTATCTATTTATGAGTATTGTAAATATATGTACTGTATGTAACTATATACTTAAATAGTGGATAAGAACGACCTCGGATAAGATAGTCAGAGACAATATTGAACAAAATGAAACAAATGGGTATATTTCTTCATAAATATATATATATATACATACAATTATCTATAAAGAAAACAGCTGGATATGTTTCAATATGTATTCATATATATATAATGCATATTTGTACATGTATCTGTTAAAAATACGTATTCATATATGTACATATGTATGTAAATGTAATATATATATAGTCATTCACCAGCAGATAGAACATTCAAACATTAGAGATTGAAACAAATCTCAAATAGACATATGCAAGTATTTCTGGGTTTGTGAAAACGACAAATATAGAGACATGTGTTCAAACCTTTTCGAAACCGTAAATGCGTAAATCGCATAAAATGATTTGTCTTTACTAGCAAAAAGAAATTCTGAAAGTATTCAGTAAATTGATCACAGAACCTTTATATACATACATACGTATATCTAAAAAACTCTTTACATGATAGAAGCTTATGTTTTGCAATTTTTACATGAAGTCAAAAACACATGGAAAACACAGCGTTTATTTTTGCACGAGAACAGGAACAAATGGTAAAGAATGAAAACACTACACTATCTGTCCAAAAATGTTTGCACCTGTTTGTGATATGTTTGCAAGCTTGCAACTACCCTACACAGTGTATATTGATATACGCATATGTAATTGATGCATTTGTAACTCAGTGATACTCAGCGTATATGTGTACGTATATTATATGTAAACGTAAATATTTGAGTCACATGTGCATATGTATTTTTTATATATGTCACAGTTTTATACCTTTTTTGGGGGGGTGTCTGGGAGCCTCTTTTCCTTGGTTCTACAATGGTTCTTACAGATTTTGTAGCTCATGGCAAATGTGAAATTGGTTCAAATTTGGGCCAAAGTTACTCCGAAGTTGACGTTAAAACATGAACATCACCAGGCTCACTTCCAAATCAATTTGGATCTAATCAAACCTTGTTTTCAGAAAAAACAAGTTGAAAGTAAAGATGCATTCAATTTGAAAAAATGATGCGGTAATTTAACATGAAATTAAAACTAATTTTAGATTCAAAGTCTAAAAGTGGCGCTGTGAGCTCCACTGTTCAGCTTAGTCGATCCCTGTCAACCAAAGCAATCAAGTAGCCAGCGGGAGAGCGGCGTTCAATTACCACATCTGTCGAATGACCTGCCATGTGATGCCCCGACTTGGCGTTGGTTTATAATCAGGCTATATAATTGGTTTAATGGGTAAATGGTGGATATCATATGCCAATCATGGTGGTTAAACTGGGTTAATGATGGTTATAATGGGTTCATGGCGGTTAATCAACTGTAATTTGATAGATGAGCATTGTTCAAATTCCCTCTGTCATTCCATCATACTGGTTGGTTAATAGGGATTCTCCTATAGGATTAGTATAATCCCCAATCTTTTGGGTAGTATAACCCCCATACAATCATCAACCAACAGGGGCTTTGAACACTGCTCAGATTTATAAGCAAACTTATAGCTTGGAAGGACCACAACGACACGTGTGTGTGTGTGCACCGTCTGAATAGAGGTAAAACTTCGTGGGCGACTCATCATATTATATTATATTATATGAAATTATTATTTTATTAAATTAAATTATATTATATTGTATTATATTAAATTAAATTATTATTATATCAACATATATTATCTTATATTATATTGTATTATATGATATTATATGATATTATATGATATTATATGATATTATATTAAATTATATTACATTATGTTAAATTATATTAGGTTATATTATATAATATTGTATGATATTAAATTATTCTTATATCAACATATATATTATCTTAAAAGTATATTGAATGTCATTATAATACATTAAACTATGTTACATTATATTATATTATATTAGAGTAAATCATATCGTTTAAAGCAGGGGATCAGTCGGTGATCAACGAAGACACCTCCCCGGGACCCGTGTAAACGTACCTGCTGGGCTGTGGTGGCGCACCTGGGCGCATTTAAGTCGCAGCTGGTGGCCACCATAGCCCATATATATATTATATATATATATATATTAATCTAATCTAATTGCATGTGAGGGGATTCAGTTCCCATCGGATCACTTCAACGATCCATTTCTTGTCTAGTGTGATTTCCATGGTGTACCCGACATGGTGCCATGGACCCAATTGAGGGAACCCTGTTCAGGGTGAATGTGGACAGACTGGATTTCTGGACTGACACTTTTAACTTAGTAATTCGCTTAGGTACAGCGAAACAGTCGGCCATTCGGTTCTGCACCATTTTCTCGAGATCCTGCTGCCCCTTCCGTCCCTGAGATACCTCGGCAAATCCACCTTTGCTCAATTGAAGCTGTACGCAACAGCCTGAAACTGGCTTTTATCACAAGACAGGAACGGTGTCGACAACATGGCATTCATGGATCATGGAAGGCTTGAGGCTTCATGCTTTCAGGTGTGGTCTACTTACTATTTAAGGTTCTCTGGTGAGGTTGAGCATATTGTGCACCCAATTCGTATGAACTTGAACAGCTGTTTATGCCCATGCGGCTTGATCGACCACGGTCCCGTTTTGGGAGTAACGCACGATTACTTAAGAGTGAGCTGAGTCCCTTCTATAAATTGTTGTTTTTCTTTTGTCGACATCAACTAGTTCCCCATTCGGTCCCCTATTTCATGCGTTCTTCCCTCCCCAGGTAGGTCGGGTCCTGTGCGTGCCTAGGTAGGCGTAGGTTTCGCTGTGTTAGGTTGGTTCAGGCGCTTCCGTCTTTCCCCCCTCCGCTGGTCTTGTTCCGTGTCCGTCGGCCTCCGCTTTTCTTTTTCCTTGCCCTTTCAAGGTTTTCCCGCTCCGGGCCAGGTGTGTTGGTGTTGGTGTTTGCTCTTTCCGAATTTCCCTCTGCTTTTGCGTTCCCTTCCTCGGGTCCTGGTTAAGTAATCTTTCATCTCATTCTCACGCTCATCTCATCCTCACCCCCCCTTTCATCCTCATTTTCACCCCACTTGCCAGGACACCACCCTGCCAAAGGCAGGGTGTGTGTACCGCGGGCGACTCATCATAATATTATATCATATTATATCTTTAAAGCAGGGGATCACTGGGGTCCCGGGGGGGTCGGTGATCAACGAAGACACCTCCCCGGGACCCGTGTAAACGTACCTGCTGGGCTGTGGTGGCGCACCTGGGCGCATTTAAGTCGCAGCTGGTGGCCACCATAGCCCATATATATAATCTAATCTAATTGCATGTGAGGGGATTCAGTTCCCATCGGATCACTTCAATGATCCATTTCTTGTCTCTCTGTGAATCTTCAGCTGACAATTTCAATAATGACACGTCTTAGATGCCCATAGTAATATATATATATATACATACATATTTTTGATATTTTACATATGGGTTATATTACATATTATATGTAATAAATATATAATATGTATATGTATATATATTATATGTTGTCTTATGAATTTGCTAGTCTAGCTTCCATGTTCTTGCCGTGTTGGACCAAACTCAACAACATCCATCAGCCAAGCATGGCGGCCATGGCGGCCATGAGAGGCTAGGTCAACACCCAGATGCCCCAGTGAGCTGTTCACGCTAAGTTGGTGCGTTTATAACTCCAATAACTTTGGTTTTTGTTGGTGATATATCTATACTTACTATGGTTTATATACCATTCCCATATGCGAACCGTGGTGCTGGTATAGAATCCTACATGACTGGCTGATTTGTTGGGCAAATGTTGGTGTGCATATTCCAGCACCATGGTTGGTATATGGGACAATGACCAAAGACTTGAAACATGTGCACATGTAAAATCGTGACAGCGACCCTATACCTGGAACTTGTTTTTGCTAAACAGAACAATTGTGGGAGCAAACAACTACCAGTAAACAAACATTGATACAGCTGGTGCTCAAGGATGCTTCCCAAAATTGGATACAATGTGGGGCTTAAAAGGGTATGTTTGTTGGTTCATAATGCCGCCAAACCAAAGCTATTACATGCTATACGTAAAAATATAGACCATCTCAAGCACTTAAACTTTAGTTATTATATGTTATGATCTAGCTTGGGGACCCCACACCGTATCAATTGCCATTTCAGGAACCTAAATTGGAGGTACCTACCATGTAGAAGGCCATACGTAAGGGGATATCCCCACAAAATATGGCCTTATAATATGGTACAGTACCTCAATTTTAGGATCCTGAAATTCCCACTGACCGTATACTCAAGTCCATTTTTCCTTTGGTTAAACGCTTGACTATGAATCCCGAAACCCTGCAACACCAAGAATCTAAGTTAGCCATAATGCTTGTTGTGGTTGACATGGTTGTAAGTGTATAGTACAGAATCTAAATTAGTAATACCATGGTTGACTATGGCTGTAGGTAAATCTCTACAAGGTGGTGCCCCCTCAGTTATAAGTTGGTTTATAAGCCATAGTAAGTATATATATTTCTGCCATAAACCATAATGAAATTGGAGTTATAAACCAACTTAGCTAACTATGGGGCACGATCTTGTATATATAGTGTATGGTAAATTCACATTGGTTTAGGAGTGCGATGGAATTGTTTTGCATTTGTTGTGTCCCTTTGACAAGCGATGTTTCAGAATTTCGATCCATCAGCCAGATTGATTTAAATTAACTACTTTCCCTCTGGCAATCTAATATTGCTTTTGAACTTTGATGAATATTGCAGGTTTCCAAATGATGTATTTATTCCAATTGGTGCTTTTGCACAGCAAACAACGATGAAATTCGTCGATTTTTGAGTCATCTCACCTGGCACGCTGTGGAAGAAATAGTACAAGTACGGGTGCAGCCTGGTCGAGATCTGGGAATTCTGGGAAGCTAAAGGATTCAACAACCAAAGAAGAGGCCAACATACCAACGAAGGCGTGTAGGCTGATTGAAAACCGCAGTGAACTGCGAGTTTGGGAGGCAAAGGGATGGAGAGGAGGCGTGGTGATCAGATTTTCCGAGAAGCCAATGTTTCATGCCTGCCATGGTCAAGTTACATGGTCTATAGTTTATGGCCATCCATCCAACCCTGGGAATCTTTACAATGGTTGTATAAATCCCGATTAATGGATTCATGATCATCTCCCATATGGATAATATGGGAAACTAACCCTGTTGACCATGACACATGTGTTTATGTTTTGATGGGCTTTCCCAATTGGTTACTGAATACTGTGGCAACTCTTTGAACACCCAATCAATTTATCGGCGCATAATGTGGTAGAACCACCCCCCATGCCCATTCAGATCAATACAGCCTGCATGCCTTCTGATTGGATCTTTTTTTTCTTGTAATCACCATTTTTTCGCGATTTTGCCATACAAAAGATCATTTGTTCGCCTCATATAGGGTTCCCCTGACCTTGGGAAACGCCGATTTTTGCCGGTTTTTGGCCATGGACCTTCACCTCCCAGGTTGAATCCCATGGTTTCTTGGGGATACTTTAAGACAGCCCCACATCATGAAGATGGAAGGGGCAAAATGGATTTACTCTATCTATCTATATATATAGATAAATAAAGGATGTGTCATTGATAAATATATACATAGATTGTCAAGCATTATCAAACATTTTCAAACATGATCAAACCATACATCTATATATTAAAAAAACAATCCCTTCAAACTCAAAGGATATGTGTCAAGATTGTCGTTCCAGAAACCTTGCTGAAATGCCAAGGATTCGCTGGGCTGGTAAAACATGCTAAAACTCACATCTCAATAGACTGTTGCAGTCGTGGTGCCAGGCGATGCAGGCAAAGTCGTTGCGGTCAACTTACTATCTCTACAACACCTACATCAAAAACGAATTCAACAATCACGCGGAATCCCATGTCCAATCCGCACCTGATATTTGTGCATATGTAAATGCATGTATACTTATATATATATAACATAGATTTAGGGTTTGAGAAAGAATTTGATATTATACACATCTAGGTGAAGGTGGTTGTTTATTTTTTTTATGCTGACATACACCCGGTCTAATTAACATGCTGCAAGCCAAATATATAGCTATATGTTTCGTTCATTTTGCAAATCATTCGGTGGTTCCATATAGTTGGGGGGAGTTACGAGGAAAGCCTATCTCAAAACGACTTGGGTGCAAAAATAAATATTAACTTCTAGGACCCCTGTTGCGGGGGCTCCTGCAAGGATCTATGATTAAAAAAACGTACTTTTATATTGCTTGACTTTCCAAATCCGTACCTTTATGTTGCTTACGTACATGTTTGATCCTCGTTCTTGGTTCGTTTCATTGCTAATTAATACCGCGCACCCACAGTTATACATAAGTCGGCTTATACACCCCATGAACTATACATCAATTGCAATAAAACCGGAAGAGTTAAACGTTGCTCCCAACTTACTTAGCTATCAACGGACAACCAAACAAGAACGACATTCTGAAATTGTGTGCACAATGATCAACATGTGCCATGGTCAACACATGATGTATAGGATATACATTATAATGTGTATATATATCAAATTATATATATATAGTAAAATATGATTGTATTTATATCTATATATAGATATATATCATATATGTTATATATATATAAATAATTTTGTAAAATATAAATGTATATATATATATATTACATATATATATATATTACATATATATATATATATATATATTACATATATATATATAACATATATATATATATATAAATTATTTACGAGACATACAATATATTTATAATATATACATATACACATATACATGTATCATATGACATATATATATTTATTTATATAATATCATGGGGTATGGTCATCCCAAAGTGAGAATATAATTCCCAAGTTTTGACCATGCCACAGTTGCTGTGCTCCTCATCTTCACCCCATCGCACGATTCGCTGAGCAACTTGGTAAGCCACGGTCGCTTTACGGTGACTTTCGTGGTGACTCTCAGACCTTCCGGGTGAGCATCAGTGAGATTCAAGTAGCAAAATGAACACATGCGAGGTCAGAAGTAACATATGTCGGAGCAATATTTGTCAATCTCATAAGTAGCATAGCAGGATTCGAACGATGGTTCGCAAGTGGCTTATAAATATCGTCAACCTCAGTTAACGCAGTAGGGTAAGTGGGGTTTGTCCAGTTGTAACTGGGGTGACATAACCCACAAACATGTTTCTTAGGGTGAGCCACCAAGTACTTAGAGTACTTAGGAGAACCGGCAGCACCACACATTGAGAGTACCCTTCCTTAAAATGGCTACATGACCCTAACATGTTCGTTTCACAGTTTAGCAATAGTATCTATAGAAATATTCACTGCGGTGCTGCCCGGCTGCATTATAGTTGTTCACCCCCATTAGCTGCATATATCTTTACCATAAATCCTACTTGCATTAGTAGTTATAACATGTTACAACTTACCCTCCAGTAAACTAACATAGACCCTAGTAGATAGGGGTTGGAAAATTAGTTTCCACTAAAAATGGGTTATGTTCAGGATCGAACTGTTAATTACTCATGTCAACCCTGAATTAATGCACCCTTAGGCTGTTTAATTGGAGGGGTACCATTTAAGTATCAGATTATGACTATTGACTATTGGGGAAGTACCCCCTTAGTTAACAAACTATGGTTTATTAATCCGGGGTTGACATTAGAGGGTATAACCTACTTAATTAGCCATGTTCCAAGCTATATCTTGGAGATATCGTTCCAAATGTCGATATATTCGTTCTCCTTTCGGCCCGTTTTTTTGTTGGCATGCATCCTGTTCTTCTTCATTGTAGTTATTGAAATTGGGATAAATCAACTATTCTATACTATTGTTCTACTACAATGATCACATGTATATATAATATATATATATATAATATCCCACATGATCCATTTATGGTATATTTACTTACATTTGGGTGATTTTGTTCGGGCACATGTTGGTGTGCATATTCCAGCACCATGGTTCGCATATGGGATAAATACAAATACTGAGTTCAGAAGTTCATGTTCAACCGGCCGTCGGATAACCGGTTTTGGTCTAGGGATTCCCAGTAAATGAGGCATGATAACTGATAAATACCCCCAATGTGGTGCCCCAGTGAGCTGTTCACGCTAAGTTGGTGCGTTTATAACTCCAATAAATATGGATTATGGTAGATATATCTATACTTACTATGGCTCATAGACCAACAAACATGACTGCGGGGCAGGGCACCACCTTGCCATACATTCGGTGAAGCCCAAAGTAATCACCAATCAACACAGGCATGGCCATGGCTATTAGTTATAGGTGGTTATTTCTATGTGATTATAAATATATTCCATTGGATAAATCCCAAACAGTTATGGTCCCAAATACCAGGAATAAACACTAACATGTACTAACAAAAATAAACCTATTCCCAAGAACGATTCTCCAAGTGTCGTGGATTTCTGGAAAAAATACTTTGTAAATCTTCGACCCAAATCCAGGAATAGAAACCACTGATATCAACTTCGTGATATATCCCATTGCATTCTATCCCCATTTACAATAAAACCCCATCGAATTAATTAACCATAAAATTTCAGCCCCCTGCTTCCCACATACCACGAAATTCACTAAATTCACCCCATTAATCTACATTAAATTCCCTTAAATTCCATTAAGTCCCCTTAATTAAAACCATTGAATCCCGTTCAGCAGTCGTCCGTTATTCCCACATCACCCGGACGATTCGCAATCCGAAGCACTGCGCTGCGTGTGTTCCACATCTTGCAGGCGGCGATAGCTCGAAGCTCCACATGAGAGACAGGAGAGAAGGTACCAGTGACCTCGTGCTGCCAATTCGGTGAATTCGTCATGAAAAATGCTGGGTTCATGGGGGTTATTTCATGGAATAGTCACATCAATTCATAGGGAACAAACATCAACCAATTGTATATTGAGGTCTGGACATGGGGTGTACCACTTATGGCTATACCGGGATGATGATACCGACATGAAAACAGACACGGTTGCTATGTGCTGACATCCCCATGTCTTGTGCTAATCTCAGCGGTCTCAAGGGCAATCTGTTTACAAAATAAAGGCTTTCATCCCACCTCGGGAATCACTTGTTGCTAAATCATGCCTATCCAAAAAAAATCAACAAAGCGGGCTTCAAAATGTTACTGGTTGGTATACCTACCCCTCTGAAAAATATGAAAGTCCGTTGGGATGATTATTCCCAATATATGGAAAGCCAAACGACCAACCAGCAATAAATCTACCAATGCAGGTTTCGAAATGTTACACGTATCATGGATATACGCCACGTCCTGACCATGAGCTTCGAAGCTGACGAAGTGGAGGTCACACATGCAGAATCTCCAACCATCACCGATCAATGCTCAAAGTTGGCTCTTGAATCCCAGTAGTTGTTTTTTCAAGAGCAAGAAAATCAGTCTCGGTTGTGATATAGTCAAAAAAACATATCACCGATATATAAACTGTTTGAATCATCACCGATATATTCTCATGTGCAAAAATCTCTCGTAGCTCAGCGAACCCAGCAACCACAGTCACCCTGCCTCGGTTCGACCTGAGGATCGATGGGATCCCATGTCCGAAAATGATTTCCACGAGACATGGTGATTTATGACAGCTCAGTTGGTGAACATGATAAGAGCTTTGGTTTCTGGCAAGTATAGTCTATAGTTTTTTTTCAATCCGCGAAAAAAACTCGGGAGGGCCACCTTGCAGATACCATTCGAATTTTTGGTTCATGAACTTATCTACCTGTCGACCGTTGGTCTAGCGATAGATACCCTGCAAAATGGTGGTATAATCAAACATTAGATAAAACATCAAATAACATGGGGATTCGATGCTGTAGGTCAATTTTCCCCTGCGTGGCTAAAACTTAAGCAAGTAACCTACCCGGCCAAGGCTTATGCAAGGTAATGACATACATTGAAAAAACACGTATCGGTACGTAGCGGTTTTACTTAGGTAGGGATTTGGCCTACATGTGGTGGGTACCCATCAGCATAGACCTTGAAAGCCAGCCATTCCCTCAAGTTAACTGAGAGATGGAACCATCAGGAACAAGCCAGGATCATTGTGATATTACCTCAAATCATATTCGTTCGCCAGGAAACTCAAAAGAATAGTATTGGATAGTACACCAACTGAAGTAACATATTGACAAATATTAACATGTTAATAGTGCACCAACTGCCAGCCCCAAGAAATGATATCTTCCAAGCGGCATAGCCGATGCGTCTCCACGCGAAAGGTAGCTCCTTGTCGGTGCAATGTGTCGAGGTGTATCACCAATTGCCATAGTAATTGCTGGGTCAAATATGGCCATGGATCAATATACCCTCTGGTAAACTAACATAACTGTGGAAAAATCAACTATAAATGGGCAATTCTCAATAGCAAACTGTTAGTTTACCAGAGGGTAAATAACATTTTTAGGGGGATGAACATCCATCATTTCTGCAGCTCTTGTGAGGTGAACATCATCTTCCCCAAGGGCCATGGAATCCCATCCATCCGCAATCTCGATAGAAGCCCCAAGTGGCACCCAATGATGGATAGATCCAATCTGAAACCAGGCTTTCAATGCTTTCAAAGAAGCTCATAGATTGTCATGGCGAGATGCCTCTAGCACTGACAACTAGCCTGAAAAATTCATTCGAACCATTTCGGCGAAATTTGTCCAGCTCAGCTCAGGTGCCCGCAATTCTTAACCAAGTTGGTAAGCATAACTACAATGTGGAGCCCCCCAGCTATGTCTGTTGGTTTGTAAGCCCAAGTAACTATAGTTATTTGTGTACCATAAACCATTGTTATTGGAGTTATTTGCACCAACTTAGCTATCGTGGCCGGGGGCCTCACATAACTAGGCTACCAACAGCTTGGATTTCTCGTAGATATCTCCCAATAGTTTGATGAGTTTTCACACGAACAATAGATATAGTCCACTGAGATACCGTCCGTAAATATATGGCATGTATACAAAAAATGGCCATAAGATATGGCCCAACTAACAATTGTAAATGGACTGAAATGACTCCTATAACTAGTTGGTTATATATTATCATAAGCCCATTTATAATTGTTTAGGGCCATAACTGCAGAGGATTTTCCCATCTGGTTGGTGGTTTCAACGCCTCTGAAAAATATGAAAGACAGTTGGGGTGATCATTCCCAATTTATGGAAAGTCATACAATTCATGTTCCAAACCACCAACGAGCCATATATGTTCCCATGGTTAACTGCGAGAGCACCAGCAAAAACACCTCAGGCCATAGCCCCGTTTTCGCCCCGACACTGCACGGCCAAACCACCGAAGAGCAAGCAGAAGAAACTGCTCCACCCTGGGGAAATACACCACCAACCGAAATGCATTATTAATATCATTTATTTCAATACACTCATTTCCATTTTTAATGTTTTCTAATGTTTTACCATATAGCATAACTGAACTAGCTTCATCAGGCTTTATGGTGGTTATAAGAGATTTTAAAGTTGGGATCAACCTAGCTATATCTAGCTATATAACCAGAGCATAGTTTTGTGGTTAACCAGGGTTTGTGGTAGTTATAGCTAGAGTTAGATGGGAGTATACACCGACATAGAACTGGGGAGCCCCACATTGTTGTATCTTTGTATGAAACACATTTCTCATCTACCTACTAACAATGTGCTTCCATCCCCTACTAAACCATGCTTTATGGGAGGATCTTTAATATGAACGGGCGTTAGCAGGAAATTTATGAAATAATTATCTATGATATGGGACACGAAGAAACATGACGGGATATAATGATATAAGAATGGGATAGTTGGAATGAAACTGGCCCCGATTTGGGGTTGATATTGGCCATACCTCTATTTGGGATGATGTGAAACAAACTTCAAATGGTTGGTTACATCCGGATGGTTTATTCTTCAGCTTACCACATTGCCCTCATACATGAACTCACCAAGAGACAGCGCGTCTGAAAATGGAAATGATGATGAACCAGCAAATTTCAGGGTGCCCTATTTTCAGACAAAGCTGAATGAGCAAATCCAACATTGAATTAGGGTTTGGTTGGGCTAGTGTTTTGTGAACTCAAGGAATTGCAGTGCCTTTAATGCTATCCTTCAACACAAGCAGGGAGCATGGCGGAAAAGCTTGACATATCCAACACAAGGAGCCTTTTGTGGAGTCGTCTTGGAACTCTTTAATATGTTCGACATGTCCTTCGCGCTTTCTCTGGTATACGCATTCTTCTCTTCACCAAATAGATGGACCAGATATACACAAATATCTTCTGTTGCAACTCAGGCTTTTTATCCCCACATCTCATTCAATCTCAGCATGGAATGGTTGTATTCGATACTTATCCATGTAGACAAATCACAAACAACTTATCGAGCTTATCCTCTGGTAGAACATAATGCATATATATATATATGTGCAAATATCCATTCTTTAGATGGTTTACCTATTCACACATGTCAAACACGTGTTTTTTTCCATCGTTGAGGACGGAAACTGTGACCTTCACCCCCTTCAACATCCCCTTTTCGCCATGGGGATAGTCAGTCAGTGAGATCTAGGGAATCTTCTCACCCAGTCACTATTGGCTCAATGAAACATCAAGAGACCCCCGCAAAATTGCCAATCTATATACCCTGTTCTTCCGCCTGAAATCCTCCAGTATCCAGTTCATCTATGTTCAACTGCTTGGTGCTGCCCCACAGCCGAGTGTGTTGCTCAAAAAAATATGGCAACAGGATAACAAAAGAAAGAAACTACCAACCAGCAGCAATCCTCCAGGATGATCCCGTCCAAATGATTTTCCCAAGAGAAAAGCCCGAAATCATTGTGTTTGTCAAACATTTATTTTTGCGTTGCTTAAATCCCAGGAAACTGTTGGTTAAAACATCTTAACACCATAGTTAGCATCGCCAAGCATCCCTGCACATAAACCAGTAATGGATCCATCAAAGGTGGCACTTGTCCCAAGGGTGGTGGAATGCGGACGTGCACTGCCAAACTCATGCAGAGAAGGTAGACGCTTGCGTCCTCACGAGGTCGTCTCCACAAACAACAGGGATTTGCGCACGTTGGGATGCAATGAAATTTACACTTCGGTAATCAAACGTGACAATTGCGTGGAAATCCCCTATCAATAGAAATTTTAAGGAGAACATCATGTGTAAACACTGATTTATTTAGTGCCATGTCTGATTACCAAGGAGTACATTTAGTCATATTTACTGGCTTTACATTGCTAGTGACGTCACAGTGAGGTTGCTACAAATTATCCAGATGGACATATGTGTAGATAAATTCTGTAGCTGCAACATGGGATTCAAACACTCAGGCCGTTTCCCTATGGATCCATGGCCACTGTCTGAGAAGGTACGGCTAACCCCCTAGTCATGATACCCCAGTCACACTTCCTAAGAAGTTACGGCTGGATTCATAGGGATAGATAGCTAGATAGATAGATAGATAGATAGATATATATAATATCCATCGATGCCAAAAAATTCTCCAGGTGTTTCTTCACCCCATGTTGGCCATGAAATTCATGGTGACCTCATCCACCTGCCTGGTCCAAAACCAAGCATTTCAATCCCCACCAACTGGCGAACCATAATGCCCACGTACCTGGCATGGAACTGGGCAAAGGTTGGGGTCGCAGACTTATCTGTCCATGAATCCTGATATAATTTGAAATATTCTTATGTCTTAAATAAAAAAATATATAATGTATATATATATATATGTATATTTGCAAAATATACTAATCTTGTATAATCTTTGTCTTTTATAAAAACATTCGGTCTATCCTCTCTCACTCTCTCACTCTCTCACTCTCTCACTCTCTCGCTCTCGCTCTCTCTCTCTCTCCTCTCTCTCTCTCTCTCTCCCTCCCTCTCCCTCCCTCTCCCTCCCTCTCCCTCCCTCTCCCTCCTCTCCCTCCCTCTCCCTCCCTCCCCCCTCCCCTCCCTCTCCCTCCCTCTCCCCCTCTCCCTCCTTCCCTCCCTCTCCCCCCTCTCCCTCCCTCTCTCCCTCTCTCCTCTCCCTCCCTCTCCCTCCTCTCCCCCCTCCCTCCCCTCCCTCTCCCTCCCTCTCCCTCCCTCCCTCCCTCCCTCCCTCCCCCGCGTATACACATTTGCATTTACGCAAATGAATTTATATCAGTATGAACTACAACGACCACAAGCATGTATACATAAATCTGAACTGTTTGTGTCGGAACACATATGTAAGAATATGATAATACACGTGGATACGTTTATAAGCATACATATGCTGCATCTTGAACGTAAATCAGTATTTCTATCTATCTATCTATCTATTTATCTATCTATCTATCTATCTGTCTGTCTATCTATCCATCCATCCATCCATCCATCCATCTATCTATCTATCTACACATATATATATATATTATATTACAATAATTAGTATAGCTGATATAGTGCACCAATAAAGACAGTTAAAAAGAAGATGAACCCAAACTATTTTTGACACCGTGACCATGCCATCCAGCAAGTGCTTTACTTGTCCAAAGATCTTCCGTGATCCCCCGGAAACCAAAAAACAAGTAAATCAGAACTGAAACAAATGGGATTGGTGTTTTTATCTTGTAGGTTGCCGCTATAAGCCACTTTTGAGAATGAACAAGTAAAACATAGTAAAACTATAGAGAGGCTTATTTCCGAAGGGATTGGGTAGATGAATGATGCTGGGTCATTTCGCCTGACCAGTCATGGGCCCAGTGGTACTCCAATCCGAATCATACTCATTTCACCACTATAAATGCTTGGTGCCCCCTGTTTGATAACAAAACACAGCTGCTGACACTGCTCAAGTCACTGAGGATTCTATGCACTCCATGTGAAAAATTCCTTCGTGGTAGGAGATCGAACCCATCAAATTCCAAAACAACAAGGCTAATTTACCATAGTCCAGAGAAAGAAGTCAAAGTTAGAGACCCCACTATTTGTGTTTGTACAAACATGGGACACCCAAAAAACCGCAGCTTTAGCGTTCCTTAGTAACTCAAAAAATGCAGCAAAAGACGTATGCAGCAAACCTGTCTCCACAGAGTGTCTGATGGATCCAACGGACCGGCTGTTTTACCCTGCTAAATTCAGACGAATACACAAGGGCACTTAAATGAATTCCATGTTATCCGGTTGGAATCCAACTTTTTCTGGTTCAATTCAGACTTCCTTTGCTGAATCACTGACTTCTCAAATGGCTGTGTCTGAAGATGTTGTATACCCCCAGATGGCTACATCGAAAAATCCTGATAGTACCCTTTTTTATGCTACCCACCTATTTTGAACCCAGACGTGTCAATCCCGGCGCCCCACGATGTCTCTATCGGACCCAAGACGCCATAGCGCACACAGCGCCGTGGAGTGGTCTGCTCAAGCAGTCGTTCGGATCCCACGGGATCCATCGCGCGGTTCACAATTGCAACGGGGACGCAAGTAAGTTATACAAACGACTTGCACTTAAAGCCCGAAATACCGTTTATAATTCATGGTTATAAATGGCGTTATTAGTTATAGTATGTTCTATTTATGGGATTATTTTACTGACTTCTAGGTGGTATTTGGTGCTATAACTCCGGGTTTTTCGTTATGGTTCGAAATTCCTTAGCCTCCGGAAATTCGAGTATAGGGAAAAATATGGGAAAATTAATGAAAATGAGAAACTTTAGGCAGTCATCGATTGCTCTGACTTTGCAAAACAACAACTGAGGTTCTTGGAAGAAACTTTCCCCGGCCATTGTTGAGGTCCCTCAAATTGTCATGAATGGCTTTGGAAGGTTCCCTATATGGACATTTCACTGAAATGGGGGCACCCCTAAATCATAAGAAATTGTGGGGTATCCCCATTTATGGAACCCATATGGTCCCCTGTACAATTCTGGAGCTCAAACATCTTCACCGCTTTTGTTGGCTATAACTTGAACCAGCATCAAAATCAGAGGCTTGGCGCAGGTCCAGCAACAAATCAATACTTCAGTGATACAAGGGGAAAAATAATGATAGATAATGGAATTGTCCAAAGGTCCATAAATGGGACTATCTATCATAAAAGAATATCAGTGGTATCTATACTTCTCCATTTGGTATTTTATGATACTCCCATTTGGCAAGGAAATCAAGACAATCAAGGGATTGGTTGCGGACTTTGGATCAGTCAGATGAAATTTAGTCCCTGCAGACTCCAAATTGGATGAGGTGTTACCAGAAAATTCAGTGCCATCACCTTCATGAAATCCAGGTGTATTGCACAATATTGTTCTGGTTGGTGGTAAAACAACCCCTCTGAAAAATATGAGTTCGTCAGTTGGGATGATGACATTCCCAACTGAATGGATGGAAAGTCGGAAAATTCATGTTCCAAACCACCAACCGGTTGTTTTTAGGGAGAATAGAGGGGTCGCTGTGGCAAACTATTAGTGTCCTCTACCTCTTGGTCGCTGAATGAACTTTTTATGAATCAACCAGTGGAAAGAGGACAGCTACCTGGGAAACAAATGGTATCACTAACCTCAAAAAATACCATGTGTGGATGATTCCCCTACGATTCACCATGATTCCAGGCTTCGGTCACGATGGCTTCGGTCACGTCATAACCCAGATCCAGCCAGATCCAGGATGGAGTTTTGCAGGTTCCATGTCCACCAGGTCCACCCAAAATCCCCACCGAGGCCTCATTGCACCAGGTCCATCAGGTCCACGATTTTCCTAGGCTGAAGATTGCATGCTCCAAAGTGACGGTTTCTCTGTGTGATTTGTAATTGCAAGGTCCACGTAGATAGCTAAAAGTTGGTTTATAATTTGGCTAACTAGAGTTTGTGGGTATATAGTTAATCAATGGGGTTTACAAACCAAGTTCTAGATAGGGCCACAATCCATAGAAGTCTTAACCATGAAAAATCCCAATTAAACTCCTAGCTAGTTCTACTATCCATGTATAGTCAGTTTACAACCCGACTATGGTTGCCACTGAAAACAACAAAGGTGTTCAATTCCTGTTAATAACTTGGGTACGTAACTGGAATGAAACTGGATTGTGTGTTTTTGATATACAAGGTGGGGCCCGCAAACGGTAACTAAGTTGGGAGCCACATAACTCCAATAAAGCATTGCTTTTGGCAATTAATTGTAGTATGCATGGGGTGTATAGGCTGGCGGGCCACACATTTGAAACCCGCACGAAAAGTGCATGATTGATGAACCCCCACATTAAATTACGATCATCAACCCACCATCATTTATCATGATCCATCCACTTATATATGTCATCTTATATATATATATATACCCATAGTTTGCTGGTTGATACCCACATTAAATTACAGTCATCAACCAACCGTTGTTTTGAACCCGCCGTTAAAAACACCACGTCACGTCGATACGGCGCCCAGCTCTTCATAGACGGGCTCTGATCCAACGTTGTGATCTGACCTAAGAGTGAAAGTGGGCCTATCTTCATGGTGAATCTGATGTCGAAACATATGCATATGCAGTCACGCAGGCCACTTTTCTGCAACCGTTTATTTGGACAGTCTTGTACATATTTCCCCTGTTACCAGTCTGCAGTGTGGAGTGGAAGGTGTAGAGTGTGGAGTGTGGAGTGGAAAGTGTAGAGTGCGGAGTGTGGAGTGTACAGTAGGGAGTGTGGAGTGTAAAGTGTGGAGTGTAGAGTGTAAAGTGTAGAGTGCGGAGTGTGGAGTGTAGAGTGTGGAGTGTAGTGCGTGAAGTGTAGAGTGTGGAGTGTAAAGTGTAGAGTGTAGTGCGGAGTGCAAAGTGTAAAGTGTGGAGTGTAAAGTGTAGAGTGTGGAGTGAGGAGTCTAAAGTGTAAATTGTGGAGTGTAAAGTGTAGAGTTTGGAGTGCGGAGTGTAAAGTGCAGAGTGTGGAGTGGGGAGTGTAGAGTGTGTAAAGTGTAGAGTGAGGAGTGTAGAGTGTGTAAAGTGTAGAGTGTGGAGTGTGGAGTGAAGAGTGTAGAGTGTAAAGTGTAGAATGTAAAGTGTAGAGTGTGGAATGTGGAGTGTAAAGTGCAGAGTGTGGAGTGTGGGTTGTAGAGTGTAGAGTGGGGAGGGTGGAGTGTGAAGTGTGGAGTGAGGAGTGTAAAGTGTGGAGTGAGGAGGGTACAGTGTAAATTGTGGAGTGTAGAGTGTAAAGTGTGGAGTGTATAGTGTAGAGTGCAAAATGTGGAGTGTGGAGTGTAAGTCGGAAGTGTGGAGTGTGGTGTGTAAAGTATAGAGTGTGGAGTGTGGAGTGGAAAGTGTAGAGTGTGGAGTGTAAAGTGTAGAGTGTGGAGTGTAAAGTGTGGAGTGAGAGTGTGTATGCGGTGGGGTGTGGAGTGTGGAGTGTAGAGTGTGGAGTGTGGAGTGTAGTACATGGAGTGTAGAGTGGGGAGTGTAAAGTGTAGAGTGTAGTGTGGAGTGCAAAGTGTAAAGTGTGGAGTGTAAAGTGTAGAGTGTGGAGTGAGGAGTCTAAAGTGTAAATTGTGGATTGTGGAGTGTAAAGTGTAGAGTTTGGAGTGTGGAGTGTAAAGTGCAGAGTGTGGAGTGGGGAGTGTAGAATGTGTAAAGTGTAGAGTGAGGAGTGTAGAGTGTGTAAAGTGTAGAGTGTGGAGTGTGGAGTGAAGAGTGTAGAGTGTAAAGTGTAGAGTGTAAAGTGTAGAGTGTGGAGTGTGGAATGTAAAAGTGCAGAGTGTGGAGTGTGGGGTGTAGAGTGTAGAGTGGGGAGGGTGGAGTGTGAAGTGTGGAGTGAGGGGTGAGGAGTGTAAAGTGTGGAGTGAGGAGGGTACAGTGTAAATTGTGGAGTGTAGAGTGTAAAGTGTGGAGTGTATAGTGTAGAGTGCAAAATGTGGAGTGTGGAGTGTAAGTCGGAAGTGTGGAGTGTGGTGTGTGAAGTGTGGAGTGAGGAGTGTAGAGAGTAGAGTGTGTAAAATGTAAAGTGTGGAGTGAGGAGTGAAAAATCTAAAGTGTAAAGTGTAGAGTGTGGAGTGTGGAGTGTAAAGTATAAAGTGTGGAGTGTGGAGTGTGGAGTGGAAAGTGTAGAGTGTTGAGTGTGGGGTGTAAAGTGTAGAGTGTGGAGTGTAAAGTGTGGAGTGAGGAGTGTGTATGCGGTGGGGTGTGGAGTGTGGAGTGTGGAGTGTGGAGTGTGGAGTGTAGTGTGTGGAGTGTAGAGCGTGGAGTGTAAGGTGTCGAGTGTAAAGTGTGGAGTGCAAAGTGTAAAGTGTGGAGTTATAAAGTGTAGAGTGTGGAGTGAGAAGTCTAAAGTGTAAATTGTGAAGTGTGGAGTGTAAAGTGTAGAGTGTGGAGTCTGGAGTGGAAAGTGTAGCGTGTGGTGTGCGGAGTGTGGAGTGTAAAGTGAGGAGTGTGGAGTGTAAAGTGAGGAGTGTGGAGTGTAAAGTGTGGAGTGTGTAAAGTGTAGAGTGTGGTGGGGTGTGGGATTTGGAGTGTGGAGTGTGGAGTGTAGAGTGTGGAGTGTGGTGTGTAGAGTGTGGAGGGTAGAGTGTGGAGTGTAGAGTGCGGAGTGTAAAGTGTAGAGTGTAAAGTGTGGAGCGCATTGCTGCGCCAGCCACACAATAGAACTTTCACGGTATAAGACAGGTTGGAATGTCACAAAGTGCCACTCGTGCCACGCAAAACGACATGACAACCTGCTTGGATACCTTCGAAAAGGGGAGGTTTTAGGCTTCCCCCATAGACACGACGATGCCACAGGAAAACCAGAGACTCGAGACGAGACACGTGGGCGCAGCAAAACAAGCATTTCGTGCGAGACTTCTCCAATTTTGACACTTTCGACATGTTATCAAACATGGAATGTCACAAAGTGCCACGCCTGCCACGCAAAACGACATGACAACCTGCTTGGAAACCTTTGAAAAGGAGAGGTTTTGCGGCTTCCCCCATAGACACGGCGAGGCCACAGGAAAACCAGAGACTCGAGACGAGACGCGTGGGAGCACCAAAACGAGCATTTCGTGCGAGACTTCCTCCAATTTTCACACTTTGTAGCTTCAAAATCAACGTTTTCCGCCAAGTTTTCGTAGGAACCTCTAAATTTTGCAACCTCAAAAAATCGATGTTTCGTGCGAGGCTTCCGTCAATTTTCAGCACATCTCACAAAATGCCACGCCTGCCACGGAATTTGCACCTTGTCGCCACTTGACGCAGCCCTGCCAATGCGATTTGCAAAAACACGCGACGCGACACGTCTAAAGTGCTGCGCCTGCCACGCAAAATGACGATGGACACGTCCAAAGTGCTGCGCCTGCCACGAAAACTGCCACGCATCTTCTGAAAACGTCGCAAAAGTATTGCGCCTGCCACACAAAACGACTTTCGACACGTTACAAAACACGTCTGAATGTCACAAAGTGCCACGCCTGCCACGCAAAACGAAGCAACGAAACGTTTGAAACCT